CTGGAATTCTCATAGTTCCGTTCCGCGAATGCTATTTTTGCACCTCTTGTTTATCTCGAAATTCTATTTATTTCGTCTCGAAGGAAATTGTTTGATGTTTTTTTGAAAAAAAGCCTTTATGATTCTTGGGTCCGACGATCATACGGCAATGGTATGATAATTTCGTAGATTCTTGCCGATGAGTTTTGTTAAGCTGGATAATCAGAAGGGAGCAGTTTGATTTTGCAAGAAGCCAGTGGCAATTGGATTACAAATGTTTATGGAAATGCATGATAATATTTAGTGACTTTGGTAAATATCTGAAATGAAAATGCTCGTAACATTTAGAAGGTGGAACGAATCTTCAGTTAAATTCCGTTCCTTTGGTTATTTTTTATTCGTTATAAAATATGAATTTGCACGAATATTCGTAATCTGCTCATATATCGCACTTCTTTTAATAATTTTTTAAAGTTGTACATTTAAATGTTTCGAAAGGGAATGACAAATCGAATTCAAACGGAAAGGTTGTAACATTGGCCGATTGTGAGTGAGTCGCAGCACATTAAACATTAAGATTGTTCCCTCCTCGTGATTTATGTTTTCCTTTCGTAATTCATCGATAATGAGCTTCTTGTTGGATCTCATTTCATTATTCACGTAATCATTCGTGTTTTCTCAATACGTTACAGGGGGCATATGTTGGTCTTCCATCAGCAACGGACGGTGTAAGGAATTATTGTCGCAAGGAGTGACGAAGGAGGATTGCTGCGCCTCGAACGCAGCGGCTGCGACCGCGTACTCCGAGGAGGACCTCGACAGCGGGAGTCTCTTTTTTTGGCGGGTGCTCGGAGGAGGTGTGCAGTGCCGCCCTTGCAGAGGTAAGTGAATATCTATTTGACATTTATCTTCAATCTCGCACTTTTCTCTTTAAAAGACAAAAACTCTCGTCTGAAGCTGCAAATAATTATTATGTAGAATATTTAAATTAAAATTACAATTTTTTCCATTTATTAAAATCTATCATCATTATTGTTATTAAATATGAATTATATATTTTCAATCTCTCTGTATATATAATCTTTTATGAGATATTTCGATGGAAATTAATTAACACTAATCTGTGGTACAGATTTAAGATTAAAGTAATGAAAGATTTTGTTTCTCACGAAAATATGAATTCAGAGTGTCAGACTTGTGTCTTTGTTGATAGAAAGCTGCGCGGAGGTGAGGTGCGAGGAGGGGAAGAAGTGCGTGGTGCGTAGGGGAAGACCAAGGTGCGTGTGCAGCCCGGAGTGCAAGGCACCGAGGGGCGGAGGTCCGGTTTGCGGGACTGACGGCAAAAGCTATAAAAATTTGTGCAGACTGAAGAAACGCGCCTGCAAGAAAGGAAGCCACGAGCTAGCGGTTGCCTATAACGGCCACTGCCAAAGTGAGTATGTATAAAAGAGATAGAATCATTATCATCGCCCCTTTGCAATTGAATAGCCACGGAAAATAGCCATTCAGGATTTCAAATTCAGCGAAAGTATTTGGAATCATAAAGTATATTTACCTTCAGAACATGATACTTTGTGTAACTACAAATAAATACGTGCAGAAATTAAATGGCACAGTTTCTTTTACATCATTTGAACATTATTAATTTTCTCTTGAAGAACGTAGAAATTTCTTTACGCAGTATAAATCCTTCTTATCGTAGTATATTTCGTCTTAACTTCTAGTTACATCTTGATTCATTGATTTAATTGTTGACCGAGTTAAAATTACTTTTCTTTTTTAAATTCGATAAATAATACAGAATTAAAAATGGCATTTTCGATGCTGTTCAATTGCAACGATCACGTGCTACTTCGAAACATTTCCCTAAAATCATTCATTGAATAAGACATCATAAACACAACAATTATAAAATAATTCAGAATGTATTATCAACTACATCTGACCACTTCAGCAGTTTCTTTTAATAAAAGTTCAATCATATCGCCCGACTCCAAGTCAATTTCCACGTATTTACTTATTATTCATCTCATATGAGAATCATATCCAGCGCGGGAAAAGGAAACAAAACGTGCGGGGTGGTCAGAGATAGTATGCGCGCGCACGCGCGTTATGTGACCGCGGTTGGTTCGCGCGTGCGCGGCGAACGGCGCGGGAAAACAAACGCGGGAAGGCGACGCATCTATCACGGGGGCGGTTTTAAGACTGTGCGTAATAACGTGTAAAGTGTCGAACAGGTTCGTGCGCACGGGTCCGGTGCGGGCAAGGCCGGAGCTGCCTGCTGGACCAGAATCTGAGCCCGCACTGCGTGAGGTGCGCCCGCAGGTGCCCCCAGCCGCCCCCGCAACAGCGAGCCGCCGCACGCCCCGTTTGCGGGGCCGACGGAAACACCTACAAGAGTGCCTGCCACCTGCGACTTGCCGCCTGCCGCGCAGGTCGCGCCATTCCCGTCGCCTATAAGGGCCACTGCAAACGTGAGTTTACTCCTTTTACTTCTTTCTCTCCCTCCTTTCTTTAGCTACGCTTCGTCGCTCTTCTTTCTTTCTTTCTTTTCTTTTTCTTTTTCTTTCTCCAGCCCTTCGGTTCCTCCGCCACTTTGTTGTTGTGTTGACCACCACTTCTCGTCTCTTTCTTCTCGTCCTCTCTACCTCACACCCTTGTAACATCGCGGATGCGCACCGTTGTTTTCATCGCTCGGTTGTTGCTCGCGTTCTCTCCTTCTCTCGCTTCCATCGCGCGTCACTCTAGCCCCTGTGTGTTTGCCTTTTCCTCGCCTTCTCTTTTCGCCTCTCTTCAGTCTCTTCGTCTCGTCGCGGCCTGTTTTTTTTTTCTTTTCTTTTCTTTTCTTTTGGTCGGTTTTTCAGCGCAGCGGTGCACAACCAAGGGAAGAGAAGCCTCGCGGGGAAATCGTAAATATCGCAATGGCGCAACGCAACGGTGAATTGAAGGGGCCGCGGTAATAGGTCCCTGTCGTAATTGTTGTTTTGAACAGAGGAAAACAGCTGGTTGTTTGATTGATCGAGTGATATTTTTGGGTGGGGAAACTACCCGAGTTTCTCGGAATGATGAGTTTTAAAGTTTTCGGTATTGCGGTTGGGAGAAATAAACGGCTGCTTTTTACTGATCAGCACTTTAATTGTTCTGGGAACCACAATGAAATGAAATGTACCGCTGGATTTAATTTTCGTAATATATTGTTTTCTATTTGGGAGTTTTGTGTGTGATACGAATTGTTTCCTCAGTTTGAAAAATTTCTTTCATTTTCATTATTCTAGAAAACATTCGTTCGCTCTGATGATCATTATGGTTTTCAATGCGTCTCGTTGAGATGAAAATATAAATGGATATATTTGTTCATTTTCTTCACGATAATTTTAATTACAGTCACGATATACACAAATATTTACTAATATTTATATCACTGAATTTTAATGAAATTTTAAAAGAATCGAACAATGTATTTCCCGTATTTTGTATAATACAAATTGTTGATTTTTCGTTTTATTATTGCAATCTTCTATTTCGAAGTTTACTTTCTAGCTA